CAATCTTTGAAGAGAGGAATAGTAACTCCATTGCTACAAAAATGTTTACAGATGAACATTCAGTGCACAATTAGTATTTTAACATATAATGTATTACAGTTAAAACATAGGAGTTTAATTGGGAAAGATTCAGTAAACTTAGTATTTGACTTCTGATGTATTCACCAAAAATTAAAAGTTTCTCTCATCATTGTTTTTTACTATTAAAAACACAGTGCTTGGCTTAAATAACAGAATAACAGAATAAAAATTAAACTTGGCCTTAATTTGGAATTCAGATATTTTTACCTTGCCTGTTACAGCTTTCAACTCCATTCATTAATACTATAGAAGCATAAGACCTTCAAATGCTGACAACTCATGGCAGAATTTCTCTGCTGTGTGACAAGATTGCAGTGCTCTATTAATCTGCAAGTGACAATATATAGCTAAACTGGGTTGCAGGAACTTTTACAATACTCTCTTATTAGTAGAACATGGACTTCTAGAATATTTTGATTCGTATTTTTAAAAATTGTTTTATTGATGATCCAGATAAATAAAGTTCAATACTGATATTATTAAACACACCCTTATAATAGAACCACAGGAACATAACACAAATCCAAAATCTTTATCCGAAAACTCCATTAGCATGTCTCTTTTCCATATTGTGATGAAAGGTGTCACTAAAAGTTTTGCTACTCGTGTACATCTTCAATGAAAGTTTCTTTTAGCAACCATCTACTGACAGGATGCTCACAGTTGTGAAAATACATGATTTCTACTAAAACCCTCTTCCGCCATCTCTCTGGATTGTTTGGAACACGGTGGAGAATGGTTCTGGGGTTTTCTTTCCTTCTACCATTAAGAAAGGGTGCTAGATTGATGCATCTTCTGTATCATGTTTTTCCCAGTAGGAAATAATTATTCATCTCCTAGTTCTAAGATAATTAAAGTCTGGCCATTATATTTGGGTCAGAGCTGGCAATTGAAAGGAAAAATGACTACTACTCAAAGATGTGGTCCCTGGACCAGCTCGAGCCATCAGTTGTCACTCCTTGGAAAGAAACCACAAGAGCCATCCAGTCCAACCCCCCGCCATGCAGGAACATAGAATCAAATCTGGAGCTCGAATAGAAGGAGCCCTTCCATCACAATGTCTATATTTATCTCAATTATAATTTACTTTGACTGCTTGCTGCTGACCTTTTGTTCAAGCTGAGGATTTTGTGGGATTCCTAGTACAGTGGGCTTGCCATATCTGCAGAGGCTGAATTCTGTGGATACAAAAAAAAAACCCTCACAAATTATCATGCCCATATTATTAAATGGCAACATGAAAATGCACACTTCAACATGTCAATGAATCAATGCAGTAGAAATCACAGATCTGGAGCCCATGGATCTAGAGGGCCCACTTCATTTTGAGATACTAATATTGTTTGTTTACTCTTGTAAACAACCTCACAAATCATGGTTGAGAGTCTGAATGAATATGAATGAGAAAGGATACATGACTGAGGTCATTAAAGAGATGATCTTTTATTTGTGTTCAAGGCCTTCTTCAGAAAGCAATATGCAAAAATCAAAAAAGGCCAACACATCAATATATCAGTTCCAATTACATAACAACATTAACATGTTTGTATGCTATTTATATCCTATACATAACCAGTCAAATCAGAGCTGTAGAAATATATGGGCCAGGGGTGCCAAAACCAATGGCAAATTGAAAGCATGTTAATACAGGCTAATTTCTGTATATCTTGTAAGTAAATGGTAGAAAGTAGAGATACAATTCAAGATCTTATAAAGTGTTGGTACTTTGTATTGTCGAAGGCTTTCATGGCCGGAATCACTCAGTTCTTGTGGGTTTTTTCGGGCTATATGGCCATGTTCTAAAGGCATTTCTCCTGACGTTTCGCCTGCATCTATGGCAAGCTTCCTCAGAGGTCACCTCTGAGGAAGCTTGCCATAGATGCAGGCGAAATGTCAGGAGAAATGCCTTTAGAACATGGCCATATAGCCCGAAAAAACCCACAAGAACTGAGTGTTGGTACTTTCTTCATAAGCTTCATAAGACAATCCTTAGTTTATACTCCTTTTGCAAGTCTGAACACAAATGCTTTAAATAAAGAATAAAATGGCATGAAAATCAAATAATTTTTAATGTACTTATGTGAAATCTGAAATCTAATTATACAACCAACATTATTTTAGTTTTATTACATGCTCTATTTGTTACTAATGCATCTTAAATAGCATTTGTATGGTCACATTTAAGGCTGGTTTGAGTGCAACCGCTGGTCCAGAATGCAGTAAACATGTTGTATGCCTTGGTGGTCCTATTGTGTACATATACGGCATGCATCTGGATTGGCCACCAGTCTTCTACTGAGCTAGTATTGAGGTGTTTGTATTAGCATTTAGAGCTTATGTACTCTAGAAACCTTTAAAAAGAACCTTAAAACTGGCTCTTCCGCTGCGTCTTTGGTGAGTAGGTACATTGTCATTGTACCTGTCACTGAACATCGAGAAAACCAAAGTGCTGTTCCAGAAGTCACCAGCCAAACCCTCTCCAATGCCAGAGATACAGCTTAATGGTGTAACATTAGAAAATATTGACCATTTCCGCTACCTTGGCAACCACCTCTCCACCAAAGTCAACATCGACACCGAAATATAACACTGCCTGAGCTCTGTGAGTGCAGCTTTTTTCCGAATGAAGCAGAGAGTGTTTGAGGACCCGGACATCCGTAGGGATACCAAGGTGCTTGTCTATAAAGCTATTGTCTTCTCAACCCTGCTATATGCCTGCGAAACGTGGACTGTCTACAGACGTCACATGCGACTCCTGGAATGATTCCATCAGTGCTGCCTCCGGAAAATCCTGCAAATCTCTTGGGAAGACAAGCGGACAAATGTCAGCGTGCTGGAAGAAGCAAAGACCACCAGCATTGAAGCAATGGTCCTCCGCCATCAACTCCGCTGGACCGGCCACGTTGTCCGGATGCACGACTACCATCTCCCAAAGCAGTTACTCTACTCCGAACTTAAGAACGGAAAACTGAATGTTGGTGGACAGGAAAAGAGATTTAAAGATGGGCTCAAAGCCAACTTTAAAGTCTCTAGCAATAGACACTGAGAACTGGGAAGCCCTGGCCCTTGAGCGCTCCAGCTGGAGGCCAGCTGTGACCAGCAGTGCTGCAGAATCTGAAGAGGCACAAATGGTGAAAGAGAGAAACGTGCCAGGAGGAAGGCATGTTAAGCCAACCCCAACCGAGACCGCCTTCCACCTGGAAACCAATGCCCTCACTGTGGGAGAAGATGCAGGTTAAGAATAGGGCTCCACAGCCACCTACGGATCAAGAATACTGATCATGGAAGACTATCCTACTCGTCCAACGAGGGATCTCCTAGGTATACTATTGCTCAGCCTCAACATTTCTGTCACTAGAGTACACGTCCCCCCCCCCCTTGTGGGAAAGCTTGGTTCCACAATCCCTGTTTTAATGAGCTCCCCTTCACAAATCCCCTCCTCCTTTTATCTCACCCGAGTTTTTAAATAAGTTTTTAAATCATTTTAGTCTGCACATGTGGCCCGCCCATTGTCACTGTGACTGTGTTTATAGTAATCTCATATTCCTAATGTATTCATATGTTTTATGTAATTATGATGTTGCTGCTTGTGTTTTGGTTTTTATTTTGCTGTAATTTGTTGTTTGGGCCTGGCCTCATGTAAGCCACCCCGAGTTCCCGTTGGTGGAGATGGTGGCGGGGTATAAATAAAGATTATTATTATTAGTAGTAGTAACTTAGTTCTATGGTTTCTGAAGGAATTATCATTTCCTTTACAAGCAATACAGTAAGGGCAGCATGAGTATCCAGGAGGCACTGGTATCCACGTGACTATTTGTTTCGATGCCTTTTCTCTAGTGATGTGGACTCATTGGAATAGTCAACCCCTCAGCCCTGGTCGCTGGGAAAGATGCTCAGTTATCGGTATGAGTAAGAAATGGGAAAGTAAAACATTAACAAGGGGAAGGAGGAATGGTATCTACCATTGGTTTTCATGGCTAAATTGTTACCATTTGCTTCCACTTGGAAATATCCTTTTTAAGCTGAAAGCCTTGCCCTGTGATCCTGATACTCAGGACCAGAAGTATCATTTGTTTGTTTGTTTGTTTGTTTACTATATTTATACTCCACCCTTCTCACCTTGAAGGGGACTCAGAGCAACTTACAATAGGCAAAAATTCAATGCCGCATAAAACAGATATACAAATAAAATAAACAAATTCACTAAAAGCCGTAAAGTATCACTTTATTGGGAAGTATATACAGTATCAGTGTAGTTACTTCTTTAATGTACAAGTCTTTTATACTGTCATTATCCACCTTCTGTGATATATTTACATGCATATTTGGTATGAAATAATAACAATAACAAATATTGTTATTTATGTCCTTAAACACATAATCTTGAACACATTATATGAGTTAGCATTATTTATACTTGCAGAAATCCATTATAATCTGTTGACTGGAGTGTCTTACATAACAGTAGACAAGTAAAATATCTTGTTAATTATGATATAGTATACACTTTCAATTCCAGTTACACAGACGTTTTTTATTGATAAACTTTGTGCTGATGGTAAAACATGCAAATTGCTAGAATGCATAAAAGGTTGACAATTATTTTGCTTTTGTAACTGAGTCAGACTTTAAAAGAAAGTATTTGAGCGAATTGCCATTAACAGATAGATCACTAAAGACTCAAAAATTGATTTATCTTTTTATAAGTAATGGCTACATCCCCAAATGAATTTATATATATTTTAATAAATGGTTTATTAGAATAAAACTCTTCTTTTGTGGGCTTGATTGATGTTATCTGCCTAAGCACGTTGTATAACCCTCCTCTTTAGTTAGTTTATAACAGCTGGAGCTTTAATTTTTTGATCAGATTAACTCTGATTAATAACTAACAATGTATTTTTCTTATACATCAACAGTTCACCATTGCTGAGTGGAAATGGGATTGGTCACATTTGCTGCCAAGTTATCTGGGACTAAGTAGGATGACCTTTGGAGCACTACTGGCACACAGGTAATAACATTGACAAAAGAGGTAGCGCTTCTCTAAACTTCTGTACATATAATAGAAGCAGCTTTGTCTATTGTACTTTAAGCTCATGGTCTAAATGTAAAAATGTGATGATCTGCATGCAAAGTGCTGCTTTCATGTCGTCTTTCCATTGCAGCTCCTTGTACTCCCTTGAAAAGATTCTTCTGAGAGTCAGGGAAACTTTATAAATAGAATGGGATTTATCATGGGGATGGCCTTCAAGAAGACCATTGACTTAAATTGGTGACTCCCCCCCTTGCCTAAATGAAAAGGATTCTCTTTATATAAAGTTTCTATGTAGTTTCAAAGACTACTGAGGGGCCTCTTCCTTTGCATCAGGTCACGTTGCCTAACAATGGAATGGTAATTCATGAGAAAAAGGTGGAAGCAGAGGTTTGTACACATTGGTATCTTTAGTGCACAATATTGTTTCCTGATTTTGGTATCCACTAATGGTTAGATTACAAGAACATGAATAGAATGTGGATTAAATATGTAAATGAAAGAATTATGTTTGTTTTAAAAACCCTTGAGATTGACACGTGACATGTTGCTAGGATCTGCCAAAATTGTGCTAAGTGGAAGTGTTTGTAATTTTATAAGTTTTGTTTGTGGTGAAGCAGATATTTATATGATATATAATATTGTAAACAAAGCCACTGAAAAAAGGATTGGGCCCTGGTGTTTTTTCCCTAGATAGGTTCCCCCTAACTTTTCACCAACAGTAATATACATGATGGTTGAGGGGCTGCGAGTGTTTGATCATAGGCTGACCATCTGAGTAAGTACCTCAGAGCTGGAATAGTAACTTTTGCCAAGTGAGAATGGAGCTCACTGCTGTGTATGAAGGCAGGGATCCATAGAAGTTACCATTTACCTCTGTGTCTTTCTGACTTCCTATGGGCCAGGTAGAGATTTTGGAGCCTTTTAACTAAGGAGTCTCCCAGTAGGCATGTCCACAGCATTCTTGGCAGCAAGGGAGCTTACTGACAGGCAGATGAATCAGGAAGAAAAGTAATTTGGTGTGGCATATGGGAAAAAGGAATGAGTTGGGAAGGCCTGGAAGGAAATTGGGGGGGGGGATGACTGTAGATGTGCCCATGGTCCACCTGATCACTGGTTTGATGCACTACAATCTTTTCATAAAATCTCAAATGTTGCATATTATTATTAATTTCTTATAGATTCATTGTTTAATGTATTGTTGAAGGCTTTCATGGTTGGAATCACTGGGTTGCTGTAGGTTTTTTCAGGCTATATGGCCATGTTCTAGAGGCATTCTCTCCTGACGTTTTGCCTGCATCTATGGCAAGCATCCTTAGAGGTAGTGAGCCTCACTACCTCTGAGGATGCTTGCCATAGATGCAGGCAAAACGTCAGGAGAGAATGCCTCTAGAACATAGAATATAGCCTGAAAAAACCTACAACAACCCAGTGATTCATTGTTTTTTTCAGTGGATGTCAAAACAATTTACAAATAATGATACTACTGAGAAAAATAAAAATGTTTGCAATATGGTCAGCCCTCGGCCCACCACAGGACTGCCAGACCCTGGGACGTTATATGCTCTCCCCTTATTTGCACTGATTTTAGATAGAAACCACAAGTCATATTAAATGTGTTTCATAATAATAAGGAGCTACAGTCACATCTAGATGAATTGGTGCACTGACTGAAATGTGTTCATTGTACGAAATTACACGAAAGCTTTGGAATGCTGATCACTGTATGAGAGCATTTGTGAACATTAGATTTCCAATTAAAGCACTACTTTTTGAACTGAAATGTAAATCATTATTGAAAAGTTGAGTTTGGCAATAATTGTATTTTGTGATATATAAAATGGGATCAAATGTTCAGATTAACTTTTAGAAGTGCAGGTTTTAAAATATTTTACTATGGAATTTCATAAGTATAATATGCCAAAACAGCTCCAAGTAGATTCTATTATTTGTTTCAGAATAGCTGCCAGACGTTAAATTTCTTCTAGTTATTACAGGAAATTGTGGAACTTACATTTAGTAATGTGTTTCCTTGCATAATATATTTATTATGGATCCAGTTGGACAAAGTTTCCCAAGTCTATAGTTATGTGATGGCATTGTGTGACCAGGCCACTTCTAGCATATTGTAAAGAAGAAATATTTTCTTTACTGTAAAGAAAAAATATTTTCTTCTTTCCACACATGAGTGTGCATGTGCTTTTGGATTTCTTGTCAATGTATGGCTGCCCCATGGATTTTATAGGATTCTCTTAGGCAAGAAATACTCAGAAGTGCCTTAAACATCTGGTATTCACTGGCAATCTCCCATCCAAGTAATAACCAGGGCACGATCCTGGTTTGCTCCTAATATTAGACAGGCTCTGCTGCCTCAAAGTCAAATAAATCATATATGTTTTAGTGAATACATAGATAACATCTGTTATATGTGTTAGCTTTATAACAAAATGTTGATTAGAAATAGCTAATTTCCTTAACTTTTTTAGACATTTGCTCAGTTTCCTCATTCACCTCTGCATTAAGCCAAGATGAGTTTGGCCATTACAAAATCAAATCAACATCACAAATTCAAATGAATGTTGGGCAATGTGTGCATTCAAATATAGAATATAAAAAGTTTGTTTTCATCCAAACCCTCTATTTTGATATCAACTCCTTTAAACTGCCCTAAGCACAAGGGATAGAAATAATATTATAAAATCAATTGAAGTGCCTTCAATTTACCTGTCCGAACATATCTCCCTCAATGAGCCAGCTAGGAGGTTAAGATCTTCTGGAGAGGCCCTGCTCTTGATCCTGCCTCCCTCATAAGTGCAGTTGGTGGGGGTGATAGATAGGGTCTTCTCAGTGGTGGCTCCCCAGCTATGAAACTCCCTCCCTAGTGAAATTAAACCAGCCCCCTCCCCCCTGACCTTCAGGGAAAAACTAAAAACTTGGATGTGGGACCAAGGATTCAGTTAGTAATCTACTGGTGCAATAAGAGAACATAGAATAGTACAGTGACAATCTGTAATGGCCATGGACTACAATATTGGACTGCATTATTTTAAATAAGTGGTTTTTAATGTTTTACATGCTTTTAATTATTGTTTTAATACGTATATATGTTTATTGTATGTTTTTATGGCATCAAATCATTGCCTATATCTGTGAGCTGCCCCGACTCTCCTACGGGGTTGTTGCCATCCAGAGTAGGCCCTAAGATAACTATCCACCAAATGAATTTTAGTAGATCTTTCTTCCATTTTTTAAATAGAATCTGATTTCTTATTACCGGTATGTTTTGAAACAAAAATATAAGTTTTGGTAAGACATTCATCTTTATTAAGGATATTCGACCCAGCAGTGATAAGTTTAAATAACTCCATCTTTGTAAATCTTTCTGGATTTTCTTCCAAACAGTTTCATAATTATTCTTCAAGAGTTGGCCGTTTCTCGCTGTAATCCAGACTCCAAGATATTTAATTTTTTTCACACTCTCTATCCCCAGTTGTTCTTGAATCTTTCTTTGTTTCTCCTTTTCCACATTTTTGAATAAAAGTTTCGTTTTTTTCATATACATTTTAAAACCGACCACTTTCCCAAATTCCTCTATTCATTTGGAAAGGGAAAAGACCAAGAATAAATTATACTCTCCTTTTCCACATTTTTGAATAAAAGTTTCGTTTTTTTCATATACATTTTAAAACCGACCACTTTCCCAAATTCCTCTATTCATTTGGAAAGGGAAAAGACCAAGAATAAATTATACAAATTTAATTGACAAAAAAACAAGAGGAGGTCTCGGTCTTCCTGATCTGAAAACATATCATGAGGCATGTGCCCTATCATGGATAAGAGATTGGATGACTTTGGATAACGAAAAATGTTTAAATTTAGAAGGCCATGATCTGAGAGTAGGCTGGCATGCGTACGTTTGGTATAATAGAGAAACTAAGGAAAAAAATTTGGAAATCATTTTGTGCGAGCCTCCCTACTAAGGACATGGTTGAGATATAAAGCCCTCTTTTATAAAACTACACCATTATGGGTCTCTGCAATGGAGGCCCACCAAAGGAGATTGTTAGGGTGGAGGGTATGGCCGAGATATAAGGACATCCTGCTTAATGGGAAAGCGGAGATTAAACCTTTTGATCAACTTAAGAGCTCTTTTGGTAATATAACTTGGTTACATTATATACAAATTAAAGAATATTTTAAAGAAGATAAAAAAACTGGTTTTGACTGGGAGGAAAACACATGGGACAAAATATTAAAAACCAAAAAGAAAGTAGTAACAATACTCTATAATAAACTGGTGCAATGGCTTACGGAAACTGAACAAGTGAAAACATGTATGATTAAATGGGCAGAAAATTTGAGAAGGCCCATTCAATTTAGAGAATGGGAACAAATATGGAATAAAAAGTTGAGATACACTTATGCCATGGATTTGAAGGAAAATTGGTACAAAATGTTTTATAGATGGTATTTGACCCCAAACAAATTAAGCCATATGTATAAAAACGTTTCAGACAAATGTTGGAAGTGTGGTGAACAATCTGGCACATTTTACCACATGTGGTGGACATGTAAAGAAACATCTAAGTTCTGGTCATTAATACATGAAGAAATACAAAAGATATTCAAGAGGAAGTTTAAAAAGAAGCCGGAGTATTATCTATTAGGTCTTACTGACTCTGATTTAAAATTGGATGAGAATGAAGATAAGCTATTTACTTATTTTACTACAGCAGCAAGGATAATTTTTGCCAAACATTGGAAAAATGAACAGATTCCAATTTTGGATGAATGGAGGGAAAAGGTTATAGAAATAAGAGATATGGACGAATTAACTTTTTTGTTGAGGAAAAATACCGGAAAACCGTTAAAGAGGACAGACTGGACTTTTTTCTATGACTATGAAAAGAAAAATATAGAAAAACACTAGAGGCTAAGAAAATATAAGTGAGTTTTAGAAGAAATGAGAGAAGATCCGG